GTATTTCAATACTTGGAGTATGTATTATACTTTCTTATCTGAGATTAATCAGTGGACCTTTCGATAACATGAATAAACATGAAATTATAGTTGCAGCGCATGCGCAGTAGTAGGAGACACCTTCTGTCACGGGGACACCTAGAATTTTAGAACAACGCGATGATGACAAAAACGACACTAACATACGCCCTTTTGTGGTTCAATTGTTTTTTTTGGAATTATTTCCTATGTCACGATTTAGGTTCAATTGTTACATCTGAATAGTTCATAACTTAGAGTTCCAGTGTTCATAATACACCTAATAATAATATACCTCTTCGCCTATGGTTGATACGATTTTTAACACTATTATATTTGAAGTAACTTTTACGGAATTTAATGGAATTTTAATGGTTTTCTATAATATTGAATTGTCAATTTTAATCTATTTTACTTCACTTTATAATTCTGTAATGCGTCATTTGAACATATTTTTATGGAATTTGCGCAATATAAGTGAATAAATTATTATTATTATTATTATTATTATTATTATTATTATTATTATTATTTATTTATTTATTTCTGTCTTTTGTGTGATAACACTTTCACACTTTGAATGACGTAGCACTGGCATCACAAGTGGATCACAAGTAAAACGAATAAAAGAGAAACCAAAATGAAAAAACAAAAAAAAAAAAAAAAAAAAAAAAAAATTAAACTTAGGCCTAAAGCAAAAACTAATGAGTAAAAGACAAAACAAATTGTACATAAATATTTTAAAAAAACTACAGCATCGAAAGAAAAACCAAAAAAAAAAGCTTAAAACTAGCAACAAAAAGGGAAGAGGAAAAATGAAAATCAGTAAAATTTTGATACCATATTTTGTTAAGAAGAGAGTAAACAGAGTTAAAATTATATATTGTTTAAATGATTTTTAAAAGACTGTAGGGAATGTTCATTAAATATTGTTTTTATTTCATTTGGAAGGATGTTCCATGCTTTAGTTGCACGATATAAAAATGTCCTTTTGCCTTGTACCCGATTCTATTTTTGTTCAATCAAGTTGTTATTAGACTTATTCCTAGTACATTGAGGGTGATTATTGTTGTTAAAGATAAATTTATTACACAAATAAAAAGGAGCCTTTTTTTTTAGACATTTGAAAGTTAATAATAGAAGATGTTCATTCTATCTGTCGACCAATCTTTTCCATCCCAATTCATTCATAATTGTAAGAATTGGAGTATGAATGTCAACAGATAAAAGAATTCTTCCTAGCCTTTTTTGAAGAATTTGAAGTTCATTTAAGTGATTATTGGTTGTGTTGGACCAAATGCAATCACAATAATCAAATAATGGCATTACAAAGTTGTATTTGACAACATATTTATAGTTTTAAATGGAAGGTATTGTTTGACACGACGAATCACACCAATTCTTTTCGAAATTTTAGAAGACATATTATCAATATGTAAGGCCCATAATAAGTTAGTATCAAAAATGACACCAAGATATTTCATAGACATGACCTTCTCAGTAATTGTGTTATTGTATTTATGGACAATATCCGAAAATCTAGGAAGTAAATGAGAAGTTCCAAAAATCATAAATTTTGTTTTTGTGTATTTAAAATTAATTTATTATTATTGAACCATTGGGTTACAGAATTAAAATTTAATTGAAGATCTTTTTGAAGTGTAGTATTGTACATAAATATTTTAAAAAAACTACAGCATCGAAAGAAAAACCAAAAAAAAAAGCTTAAAACTAGCAACAAAAAGGGAAGAGGAAAAATGAAAATCAGTAAAATTTTGATACCATATTTTGTTAAGAAGAGAGTAAACAGAGTTAAAATTATATATTGTTTAAATGATTTTTAAAAGACTGTAGGGAATGTTCATTAAATATTGTTTTTATTTCATTTGGAAGGATGTTCCATGCTTTAGTTGCACGATATAAAAATGTCCTTTTGCCTTGTACCCGATTCTATTTTTGTTCAATCAAGTTGTTATTAGACTTATTCCTAGTACATTGAGGGTGATTATTGTTGTTAAAGATAAATTTATTACACAAATAAAAAGGAGCCTTTTTTAGACATTTGAAAGTTAATAATAGAAGATGTTCATTCTATCTGTCGACCAATCTTTTCCATCCCAATTCATTCATTCAAAAAAAAAAAAAAAAAAAAAAAAAAAAATTCTTTCTAGCCTATTTTGAAGAATTTGAAGTTTATTTAAGTGATTATTTGTTGTGTTGGACCAAATGCAATCACAGTAATCAAATAATGGCATTACAGTTGTATTTGACAACATATTTATAGTTTTAAATGGAAGGTATTGTTTGACACGACGAATCACACCAATTCTTTTCGAAATTTTAGAAGACATATTATCAATATGCAAGGCCCATAATAAGTTAGTATCAAAAATGACACCAAGATATTTCATAGACATGACCTTCTCAATATTTGTGTTATTGTATTTAAGGACAATATCCGAAAATCTAGGAAGTAAATGAGAAGTTCAAAAAATCATAAATTTTGTTTTTTGTGTATTTAAAATTAATTTATTATTATTGAACCATTGGGTTACAGAATTAAAATACAAAGAATAGTTGTGTCATCAGCATACATGACACATTTGCCTTGGATTACATTAGGTGGAGAATTCACAAAGATATTAAAAAGAAGAGGTCCTAAAATAGATCCCTCTGGTATACCAATATTCATTTTCATGGGATAAGATCGCACCGAATTAATTTGAACTATTTGAGATCTGTCATCTAAATAATAATAATAATAATAATATTATTATTATTATTATTATTATTATTATTATTATTATTATTATTATTATTATTATTATTATTATTATTATTATTATTATTATTATTATTATTATTATTATTATTATTATTATTATTATTACGGAGCCTAGCCTATTTGTTGAATTAAAATTTTATTGTCAAACGATTTCTTGTCACACTATACCACCAACTAGCTAACCAATAAGGATATCGCACTTCTCTCTTCCATTATTCTAATAGTAATATAATAATAATGATAATAATAATCAATAATAATAATAGGCCTAATAATAATAATAATAATAATAATAATAATAATAGGCATATATTAGATTTATATAGCGCTTAATACCAGCATGGCCTCTAAGCGCTTCACATTATTACCCCTGTCATTGTATCAAGCAATGGAACACATACTGCATAATGTTGCAGCTGTAATCAGCGCATTTTGTGTTTGCGCCTACCAGGGACCCACGTCCTTGTACTCCTGGGTAGGGATACACAACCGTATCATGTAGGTAAAGTGCCTTGCCTAAGGACACAATCGAAATGCACAGCGAGGGATTGAACCCGACCTCAAAGAAGCAGATCCCGCAACCGCTGCGCCAAACCGCTCCTACTCCCGGAAACCGCTTCTATAAGATTCGAGATTCATTTATTCACTGTCATTATTAAACACTATTCCCTGGTTTCTTTGAGTTGATACACAGAGTTACTTAAACAAAAAGTCTGAAGAAAATAAAGTACAGTACCGTATATAAACTTTAGGCCTACAGTAGGCCTATACAAAGTATAGACCGAATCAGGCGCGTAACATGAGTCTTGGATCGGGGGGTTGGGGGGAAAAGGTAATAATTTCCCGGTTAGTAATTTATCATACCCACCCCAAGCCCGTAGCCAGTGGGGTTCGAACGAACCCCCCTTTTCATGAAGTGCCCTTTCAACAAAGGCTGGCTAGCCTACACTTTAGGCCTAGCCTAGAGCCCATCATAATTAAAAGTCCTATTTTAATACCTGATTGTTAGGTCTACCTAGTAACATAAAAAATTCAGGCCCCGAAACCTTGATTTAGAAATACCGGGATGGTGTCCGGCGGGGGATAGTTTCACCTGTGTGTGTATATATATATATAATTATAATACACTACAACCAACCATACAAATTTGTCT